AACAAAATTTGGGAAAACAAAAAAACAAAGCAAAAGAAAACAAAAACAAAAAACCAACTCCCACCCTGACGACAGCGGGTCATGCTAGCCATCTGATGGGTTCCATCCCTCTCTGGGTTCTCCAGGCCCGCTGGCAAAACCAGGTCTTCAGTGCCTTTCAGAATAGTATTAACAAGGGGGCATTCTAATCTCTGGGGGAATGATCTTCCAGAGAGATGGAACCACTACAGAGAAGGCCCTTCTTCTAGGTCCCACCAGGTGTATCTCCCTCAGGGGTGGGACCCGCAGCATTCCCTGCCTCCTTGCTCTAATGGGTTGGGTAGATGTCACTGGCAAGAGATGTTTCCTCAGATAACCCGGACCCAAGCCATGAAGGGCTTTAAAGGTGACAACCAGCACCCTGAATTGCACCCGGAAGCAAATTGGCAGCCAATGCAGCTCCTGCAGGAGAGGTGATACATGCGCACACCATGGTCTGCATAAAACCATGCGGGCCACTGCATTTTGCACCAACTGGAGCTTCTGGATGCTCTTCAAGGGCAGCTCCATGTAGAGTGTGTTGCAATAATCAAGACGGGAAGTGACCAGGGCATGAGTGACTGTGAGTAGGGACCGCTGATCCAGGAAAGGGCGTAACTGGTGCACAACCCGCAGTTGTGCAAAGGCCCTCCTGACCATGACTGCCACCTGCTCTTCAAACAAGAGTTGTGAGTCCAGGAGAACCCCGAGATTACGCACAGGGTCTGTTTGGGGTAGTGCCACCCCATCCAAGACTAAAGGTGGTAATTCTCCCTGAACCAATGAACCCCAGACCCAGAGCCACTCGGTCTTGCAAGGGTTTAGTTTCAACCTGTTGCTCCCCATCCAGCCCCTAACAGCTTCTAGGCATTGCGAGAGGGAGGACACAGCAACACTTAACTCACCACAGGCTGAGACATATAGCTGAGTATCATCAGCATATTGGTGATACCTCAGTCCATGGTGACAGATGATCTCACCCAGTGGTTTCATATAAATGTTGAACAGGAGCAGAGAGAGTACCGAGCCCTGCAGAACCCCGTAAAGCAATGGGCGAGGGTTAGATTTCTCCCCTCCTATCAACACTGACTGGGAGCAGCCACAGAGGAAGGAAGTGAACCAAGACAGCACAAGGCCTCCCACTCCCATCCCCTGAAGCTGTCCCAGGAGAATCCCATGGTCAATGGTATCAAAAGCCACCGAGAGGTCAAGTAGAGCAAGGATGGATGCACTACCCCCATCCCGTTCCCACCAGAGATCATCCAAAAGTGCAACTACTGCTGTTTCTGTCCCAAATCCAGGCCTGAATCCTAACTGGTAGGGGTCGAGATAATCCGTTTCATCCAGAAACCTCTGGAGCTGCTGCGCGACCACCTTCTCAACAACCTTCCCCAAAAAGGGAAGATTGGAGACAGGTCGGAAATTATCCAACCGGGTGGAGTCCAGCGATGGCTTTTTAAGAAGAGGGCAGACCACAGCCTCCTTAAAGTGCTGGGGCACCATCCCCTCCTATAGAGAAGCATTAATCACTGCCAGAGTCCACCTGCCTATCACCTCCTGGGAAACTTTCACAAGCCAGGAGGGACATGGGTCTAAAATACAGGTGCTCGCGCGCATACTCCCTGTCCACTTCCTCAGGAGCAACAGGGTCAAACCATTCCCAGATAACAGGGCAAGAACCTGCCACAGAAGCTTCCACCAGATCAGCAACCATGCCGGCATCTAACTGGAAATGAAGTCTTGCGATTTTGTCTTCCAGAAAATCGGCAAATTCCTCAGCACGCCCCTTCAGATGGACCTCTGTCTCCTCCTTCCCTAAGAGGAGACAGCTCACTTTAAAGAGGGTCGCTGGGTGATTATCTGCAGATGCAATTAGTGTGGAGAAGTATTTACACTTCGCCTCACGAATCGCTTTTACCCGTGTTCGATTGAGTTCATCTCCTGTCTTCCGCCAGCGGCACTCTAGACATGCATTTCATCCCTCTCAGTTCCTCTGGGGGCATAGAGAGGTCTACGGGTGAGGAGAGGTCGCAAGGGTGCAATCCTATCCAGAGCCTCAGTCACCTTCCTATTCCAAACAGTGACTAAGAGCTCGGCTGGACTGCATAGTAGATCTGTAGTTATAACCCCCAGCTCCTTCTGGAACCTATCTGGGTCCATTAGTCAATGGGGACAGACCAATCTAATAGGTCCTGCCTCCCTGCGGGGGGATGCAGCTTTTGAGAAACTCATTGCCACCAGACTATGATCTGACCATGACAAGGGGACCAAGGAGAGGTCTACCAATTCCAGGTCACATAGACACTGCTCCGATAAGAACACTAAATAGGGAGTGTGACCACTATTACTAGTCAGGCTCTGGATGACCTAGAAGCCCATGGAAGTCATGGTTTCTATAAAATCTCGGGCTACCTCCCACCTCGACCCCAGAGAAGGCAGGTTGAAATCCCCTCCACTGCCAGTCCTGCGGTGAGGTCCAAGAGCCCAGGTAGGGAAGCTGCCACGCAGCAGGGAGGTTGGTATAAGAGTAGCACCACCTGATCCCTTGAGCCCAATCTAAGAAAAAGGGTCTCACAGCCGGGGACTTGTTGAACAGTGCCTCTGGAGGCTACTAGAGATTCTCTGAATGACAACAGCCACACCTCCTCCCCTATGTGAGTATGATTGTGGGATATGATTAAAAAAACCAGTTTTTCGCCTTATGGGTGGCTGATATATTCTCCATAACTATTAGAGTAGACATTTTTATAAAAACACTAGGGGTTAAATTTAATTTTGGGGAATCTATCTTTTAAAGCATTGTTTAATTAATTAATCTGTAGTTCCTCATGTTTGGAAGGTAATTATGAGTAGCAGCACTTCCTTGTAAATCCTTTATTTTATTTTCAATTTTGTTTGCTACCTTATACATATTTATATTTATACATTATATATATTTAAAAATCTAAAAAGGAATGTGTGACTTTAAAACCTCTTATTGTCTTTCCTGGATCTGAATCCTACGATAGGTTGTCACTATTTATCACAATCAGATAGAGTAAAGAATGTAAATCAGGGTTGTCAAACTCAATTTCATTGAGGGCGGCCGCATCATGGTTGTGTTTGACCTTGGGAGGGCGGCGGTGTGTGGCCAGGGTGGCCAGCTTGACATCACTTGTGCTGGGGGTACCTTTGATGGCCTGGGGCGGGGGAGATCCATTGACTCCAGCGGAGGAAGGCGAGACCAGGGAGAGCGCCAAATCCTTGTCCTCCAGAGGAGTCTTGCCATCTGCTGGTGGCCAAGTGCTAAGGCAGAACTCCCTTCCGTTTCTTCTTTTTCCTTCCCTCTTCATTCTCCTTTCTTCTTCCTTCCCCTCTTACCTTCTTTTTCCTTCCTTGCTCTCTCCCCAGCTCCCCATCTTTTTCTTTGTTTTTCCTCTTTCTCCTTTCCTGTCCCTTCTTGGATGCTCAAATGCAAAAGAAGAAACATTTCTCCTTTTGTTTTGTTTTGCTTTTAGTTTGTTTTGTTAGCCTTCTGCCAGCAAGAATGGAGTTCGGGCGGGCAAAGCCTCATTTTCAGCCTGGATGGGCTCCTGAAGCCTTCTGCCAGCCTCGTTTTCAGCCTGGACAACATCCTGAAGCCTTCCTTCCTTGCTCTCTTCCCATCTTTCCTTCTTTTTCTTTGTTTTTCCTCTTTCCCTTTCTCCTTTCTTGTCCCTTCTTGGATGCAAAAGGGGAAACATTTCAAGGACTGGCCTTTTGAAGCCCTCTGGCAGGGAAAACGGCGCTTTCATTTGTACCACAGAAAATGCAAGCTCCATTTTCACTGGCAGAGGCATCACGGGCCAGTCCTTCGCCATTTCCATGGCTGCCTTCCAGACCAGAATTAAGGACCCTGCGGGCCTTGAGTTTGATACCCCTGATGTAAATCATATTTCCTCTTTTCTGTTGGGTTTTAAAGACTCACAGACTCACATTGGCAGCACTGACACACCTTTCGACCCATTTATTCTCTAAAAAAAACCACCATATTTATATTGTATTGGACTGGACTTTTCCCCTTCAACCGAAAAGAATGAACTTCTGGAAATAAGCATTTCAAAAGGAATTCTTTATTGAAAGGGAGTGATCCCAGCACTGGTCAAAGCAGAGTCTAAATGCTCCCAGGCATGCAGTAATAGACAAGGGGAGTTAGGACCCCTCCCCTTGTTTAGATGTGTATTTTGTCAAACAAAGAACCAACATGTTAATTTCCCCCCTCCCCTTCTCTGAGAACGTATCTTTTGAAGAGTTTCCCAGGGAGTATCTTCCGGAGCTGGAATTTTTATGGTCCCTTCTCCGCTTGCTATCTCTTCAAGAGGTGACAAATTTCTGGACGTCTGGCTCCCATCCTCCAGTTGTATATCATCTGTAGGTTATACAGAATCAATATAAGATTTAATATATTCAGGTTACATCAAAAAGGATTGCTTGTACCAACTCCCCCCCCCACACACACACACCTTCCATTGAGGAATGGCAGATACACGGATCTGACATCCCAGCTCCATCACACTTTTAGCAAAAATCAATTTCTGACTATGAAAGGGGGGGTCTGTTTCTCATTAAGTTAAAAACATCAAGTCTATGTGAGCCTATAGAAGCTCCAATAACGATGTAATTCTGAAACAGTTTTTTGTAGTTATTGAATGTATTTTTATTTTCTTTTAGTGTAAATAAATGTTTGTTTTACATAATAGTGCTTTAATCATGACCATCTCATAAACTGAAACTGCTGGTGAACCATGACAAAAATGTTGTCATTTATTATTACTTTGTAATGCAAAACAAATGTTGTTACTAGAATTTATGTAATAATCTGCCTTTGTTCTGCATTGTCTCCCAGCAAAGTCAGTTGTATATTTTCATTGCAGTTGCATGCCAGTGGTCACACAATCATATTGCAAACAAGCTTGTTCAGAATTTTTCCTAGAATATAACAGTTGTTTACTTCCCCTTTTCAGATCGTCCTGATCCACCTTATGATTTGGAATTAACAGATTATTTAGAAAGAAGTGCTCAACTCACTTGGATACCGGGCAATGAAAATAATAGCCCCATTACAAGTATGATTGTTCTATTTATTTTGAATGTCATTTAGCATTCTATTTTGTAATAAACTGCATTTGTTTGATTGTTTCATTTAAACGACTGTTAAAATAGGCTTCTGTAAAGTGCATCTGCATAAGCAACTGAACTGTGGTACAAAATAGCAGTGTAAACAACCTATTTATTTATTACTTACCAAACTACCTATTCAGTAGCAACGTCCTCTATTTTTCTTTATCAAAATACATGAAATGTTACTTCTTTGATTCAGTTTTCCACTTAGCATTGTTCAGAAATATTATGCCATGCTTTTATTATAATCCATGCCAAGGTCCAATCCTGCAGAGTCTGATTGCTTTCAAGTAAAATTTGACCTTCAGAATCTTCAATTTTCAAACATTTACAACGCTCTTCATATAATAACACACTTTTCTCAAAAAATACATATTTTGCTAGTGATATCAGAAGAAAATAAGGCTTTATAAAGCAAAATTTACATTAATTTTATTTACAGGATTTATTATTGAATATGAAGATGCTTTGCGTGAACCAGGAATATGGAATTACCAAATGGAAGTCCCTAGTATGTTTACAACTGTAACGTTAAAGTTATCACCATATGTGAATTATTCATTTCGTATAATAGCTGTCAATGAAATTGGAAGGAGCCAACCAAGTGAAGCTTCTGAAAAGTACTTTACAAAACCTGCAAGTAAATAAACATCTCTATCTGCTTAGTATATAAATAACATTCAACTCTTGTGGTCTAAATTTTACTTAAATATAAAAAATTTAATTTTTAGAGCCAGATGACAATCCTACTAACGTTCAAGGGGTTGGAACGGAACCTAATAATTTGGTGATCACTTGGAAGGTAAGCTTTTTGAAAACATAAACTGAAGGCAGTATGACTAATATTCACTTTTCCCAAGCGTATGGCAAAAAGCTCAGAAAAACAGCAAAATATTTTTAAATATTGACTTGCTGTTATATAAAAAAACCCATTGAAATGCCATTAATATCATTCAACCTGTGCTACTTGAATTATCTGATGACACTGCTGTATAATTTGATATAAACCAAGGTAGTATACATTTAGAACCAAATATAGGAATTGAAATTAGTGTGGTTCCAATACTGATTTCTAGTGATAATGCTAAAACAAAGGACCAACTTTATTGTTAACGCCCATGAATAAGTTACAATTTAGATGATGTATATAAGCAATATATGCAGTCCATAGCACTTCAATTTATAATTCATTGTCATTCTGCAATGCAACTATGTCAGAAATAGATTGTTCAGTTTGGGTACTTTTATTTTCATTATGCCACTCATGAAGTACAAAATTATAGAAGGAAGTGATTTTTTTAGTTTGTTATTTCCCCTCCTCTTTTTTTAGTCCTTTCCAGTCCCATTTTTTTTAATAGCATGTTTTTTAGACTGATAAGAGGGCATTTTGCCTACTATTACCCCCTGTGAGTACCACTTGAGATTTTATTTTTAGAACAAGGTAAAGTGTCATTAAATTAGTAAGATTCCTCAAGCTGTATGCCACACATGAATATGAAAGAATTGCTGATTAAATCACCACTTTCATTAGAACAAAACTATTAACTTTGTATTATCTTCACCCTCTTTTCTATGGCTAATTAAAAAGTATACCTTTCTATTTTTCATTTTAGCCTTTAACAGATTTTCAGTCCAATGGTCCAGGTCTGCAGTACAGAGTCAGTTGGCAGCAGAATGATGGTGAAGATGAATGGACATCTGTTACAGTTGCAAATGTATCTAAATATATTGTAGCTGGTACACCAACTTTTGTTCCATATCAGATAAAAGTACAAGCATTAAATGACTTAGGACCTGCACATGACCCATTAACAATAATTGGATATTCTGGTGAAGACTGTAAGTTTTGTACTTTAACTCAGTTTTTATTATAATTTTTGCTTTTAGCTGACTTTTCTGAGTAGTAATAATATTGTAGTAAAAATACATAATTCAAAATTAATTTTCTACATTTATGAAATTCAAAGTACCATGTTTCCGCAAAAATACAACCTACCCCGAAAACAAGCCCTAGCCTGATTTTCATGTCTGTGCCTAATATAAGCCCTACCACAAAAATAAGCCCTAATTAAGCCCGCCCACCATCTAGTTGTAGGAGGTTGTAAGCTAGGTTGGGGTTGTATGAGGTGGGACGAGGTGTAAAAATCAAGCCAGGTTGGAGGGTAGAACTGCCCCATGCACCTCACACCCACTTACCTGAGGACCACACAGCCAGGCCTTCCATGCCTCAACACCTGTTGCGCCTCTGCCGAACTTCTTCTGCAGCCACTTGTGGCCGCTCCCAGCTGGACACCACAAGCCTGGTGCTGGTGGAGCAGCTTGCAGCAGAACGCTGCATTGCTTGTCGCACTGGTGGAGCCCCTCGCAACAGGACGCTGTGAGTCTCAGTGCACCGGTGGAGCTACTCATGGCAGGAGTGGCTCCACTGGCTCCCTGAACCTCACAGCATCCTGTTGCGAGGGACTCCACCAGCGTGACAAGCCATGCAGCATTCTGCTGCAAGCTGCTCTACTGGCACAAGGCCCCAGCTGGCAGAGAGGGCAGAGGCCAGGGTGCACCGAGAGCTAGTCCGTTGCAGCCACAGGCAAGTAGATAGTGGGACAGGGGATGAGACCAGCAGTAGCAGTGCTCCCACTCTTGTCACCCCCGCACTCACCACCTCCTGCACATCAAAAAAGTAAGACATCCCCCAAAATAAGCCTGAGTGCTTATTTTGAGGCCAAAAAGAAAAAAAGACCAGGTCTTATTTTCGGGGAAATACTGTACATGCAAGTGGTTCTAAACTTGGATTTGTTGCATTTGTTCCTTGTCAGTGCCAATGATTGCTCCAGGCAATTTACAAGTGCAAGTTGTAAACAGTACATTAGTGAAAGTGCAGTGGGATCCAGTTCCATTAAAGTTTGTCCGGGGTCATCTTCAGGGATACAAAGTAAGTTAATCATAGACATTTCTTAAACAACATTTAGTATAAAAATATCCACAGATATATTTGAGTGTGAGTTTTCCTTATTTGTTTATTTTACTTCTTGAGATGCTAGATGAGAGTAACTACTATTTTGTGTTTCTTGGCCTATGATGGGTGTCGGCAACCCGTGGCTCCGGAGCCGCATGCGGCTCTTTGGGTCCTCTGCTGCAGCTCCCTGTCCCATCACTGGCTGACCCCACCCCTCGCCCTTCCCTCCCAGTCATTGCACGCCTGGCCTGAGAAAGTAAGGGCATTGGCGGGGGATGGAGAAGTGGCTGGGGCTGATTCTCCGGTGCCTCACTCTTGCTGCCTTTTTTGTGCTGGGCCTTCTGGTCTTTGTTGGTGCTGGGTGTGCCTTGCAACCAACGCCAGCCTTGGTAACACGAGGGCTGGTGGGGTGGGAATGGGGTCCAGGAGGAGGGGACGACGGAAAGGGAGATGGACCCGCAGTGCCCAGCCACAGCTTGAAGCTCAGGGCAGCAGGAAAAGGGGGCTGGCCCTGCTGAACCTTGCACATGTAATCCAGGGGTCAGTGCATGTGTATGTGTGTGTATGTGTGCTGAGGAACAAGCGCGAGCCGTGGCAGAGGCTTCCTTTGGGTGACCTTCCTCGTCCCTCATTGAGAAAGCAGGGGGCGTCCTGAGGAAGTGCTCCCCTTCCCCAGCCGAGGGCTGAGCACAAAAGCCCAGTGGAGGGGATGACTGACCCGGCAGAAGTGCCCATTGGGGAGTCTAGTGGAGAGGCCTGCCCCGGTTGTCACAGCAGGACAATGTTTGGTTTCTCCAGACAAAAACTGCCACCTTTGAAATGCAGCGTGCCTTTGAGGAAGCAATGGCTGGAGCCATGTGGGCAGGGGCAGCAGAGGCATCAGGGCTGCTCTCCCCCCTCCTCAGCAAGCAGGGCCTGGAGGAGCATGGAGAGTTGAGGGCTGAGTGGCGAAGGGTCAGAAGGCGTGTTCCAGGGTCGCCCCAACATGCGTTTCCAGCGTGCGCTCCTCTGCAAAATGTAAAATCACCAAACTGGTAGTTACACTGGTTGGATCCCACCCCGGTCCAAATGGCTCTTTGAGTGTTTAAGATTGTAGACCCCTGGCCTATGAGAATGGCTATTTGATGTTTGTCAGAGTTTTTAGTCTAACCTTATTATTTACATTTAAGTGTTCCTTGTAACATGTGTAACATTAAATTTTATATTCTGTCATACCAATATTTAGTCTTGGGTTGAATGTGCATACAAAATCAGTAAAACTTACATCATGTTTATGTATTTAAATTATACTAGCCATTTTCTAAAGAATCCTATAAAATTCTATCTCTTAATTGTTCACAACCGTATAAAAAAGGCTATGTTAAAACAACTATCTAAATCAGAGCCAGATAACTTCCATATCTGAGTACAGATTTGATGGAGTTTATCTGCTTCAAATGCTAGTGGTCTAATATGCTAATATATTACATATGTTAAGGATTTTATATGGCTTTGCACTGATAATTTAAAGTCACTTGACTGGATAGTCATGGCTAGAGAAGAAATCAATGGATTTCCTTTAAGTTATTTTAAATGCTTATTTTTTAAAAAAATATTGTGGATATAGCACGCTGAATTGCTTGTCTAAAAATTCATTTGGGGTGAATAATATAATGCAATCTCAGAACAGCATAAATTAATGTTTAAAATATCCATGCATATATATTTAGATTTACTATTGGAAAGTCGAACATTTATCTGGAAAAATTAAGCACCATGTGGAAAAAAGGATGTTGACTTTCAGTGGAAATAGAACACATGGAATGGTGCCGGGACTAGAGCCGTTTAGTTCTTACAAACTGAATGTAAGAGTGTTTAATGGGAAAGGAGAAGGACCACCAAGCCAAGATGAAACATTTAAGACTCCAGAAGGAGGTATGTAATTGAATAACTGAGATATTTATGTTTCACGTTGTGAGTTAAGTGTTACCTGACCATTTTCATTATTATTAAATGATTATTAAAAATAATAAATGTTCCTGATTTTTTAACATACTTATTTGGAAGACAATGAAACACAAGCAAATATAGATAAAACTAATCTATAGGAAAGTGATCTGTAAGCTTTTATAGATAACGGCTACATTATTGAAGTTGTACTGGGGCAATATATGAGTAGTGCTAAGGCATATTAGACAAAAAGTATATTCATGTACTGGGGCAATATATGAGTAGTGCTAAGGCATATTAGACAAAGAGTATATTCACATATAATATCTGGTGTACTAAAGAATGAAAATATGAAGAGAGAAATTAACAGTAAAGTTAGTAATATAAAGAGAATAAAGCATTATTAGTTGATTTTGATAGCATAACCACATATCTGCAGAATTAAGGCACATATTAGAAGTCATGAGTAACTTTCCAAAGAGTTCCAGAAACTGCATCCACATGTAACCTTGGTACTGAATTAAATAAAATGTGATGATAATTTGAAAGGAACATTTAACATATTTTATATAATATTTGAGTTTTATTAAAATTAACTTTATGGTGTTTTTGTGGGTATCTCTCTCTCTCTCTCTGTGTGTGTGTGGTGTTTGTGGATGTGTGTTTTAAAGTTCCCAGTGCACCCTCTTTTTTGAAGATTACCAATCAAAATCTGGACTCTCTTACTTTGGAATGGGGACCACCTTCTCATCCAAATGGTGTTCTGGTGGGATACACATTAAAATTTCAACCAAGTAAGTAAAACTTTAACAAAAAATGAATCCACAAAGTGTATCTTTAATAATTTGAATAATTAATAATATCTTTTTAAATTGATTGGTTAATACTTTTATATAGGAATCAGTTTTTAAGAATTGGAAATAGTGTTAAATTTTATGAATTTTTTATGGAAAGGGGATAGCACAGCATTTCCTTGTAAAAACTATACAATAACTTTTCTCTGCTTCAGAGAAATGTATGCATTATGCCTTGGGGAGAAAAAGTGCGGAAGATGTAGACAGCACTAAGTTTACTTAGTGAGAATTGATATTTGGTGCTGCTGACCTGATGTAATAATATCTTCTTAACCAGATGTTAGGAAGCTAATTAAGCGAATATGTAAGCTGTACACATTACTTTCAAAATTATGACTTGTATGACTTTGATATCTATACATGTTCTTCTACTACAGAAGGAACTTAACAAACAAAAATTGTTCTACTTTAAAAGCAGAATTATGCTGCCTTTATCACACATTCATTCAAACAATTTATATTCTCTGAATAATGCTAATGTAGCATGTCAATAGCAGGATTCAGTATGTTGCATAAATGCTTGGCTTCAGTAGTTAAATACAAAATTAATTGTATTTTGTATTCTATATAACAACAGTTAATAGTACTCATGAATTAGGTCACTTGGAAGAGATCGATATTGCTGCCAATGAGACCAGCTTGATTTTAAGCAATCTGAATTACAGCACTCGATACAAGTTCTATTTTTATGCACAAACATCAGTTGGATCCGGAAGTCAAATAACAGAAGAAGCAGTAATAATTATGAATGGAGGTAAGATGTAAGGAGTATCAATTTAAAATATTTATTTGTGTAAATCTCATCTTTAATTGTGTAACTCAAGGTGGTATACAGAACGTTCCTACTTCCTGATTTTCCTATAAAATCTCGGTGGGGTTCAGGGGTGAAATTCAAAATTTTTCCCTATCAGCTCTTTGGGCATGGTTGTGGGGCATGGCCTGGTATAATAATAATAGCAACCAGGAGCAACCAGAGGTGATTTTTTACCGATTCAAATCATCCCTACCACCTCTCCCGAGAAGGGCCGAAGTGGTTGAATTTCACCTTTGGTGAGGTGGATTGAGAAAATGACTTGTCCCAAGTCATCCAACTGACTTCCATGCCTAAGGAAAGACTTCAAGTTCAAATTGAAGTAACTGTGTATAGATTTTCTAAGAATGTATATATATATATATTGAGGAATAATCTACATTTTTGCAGATCTTTTTCTACCCTTAAAAGTATCAGTAATCATAATTTTTATATTTAGAAAAGCTGTTTACCCTAAAACATAGATATTAATATACTAGCATATATTTGGGGTTACTATGTCAAATTATATTTTAGTGTTTTTATTGAGCTTTCAAAAATACTATTTGATTATAAAACTAGGAAACTCATGAAAATGTTCTAATTGTCTTAGAGCTTACTATATAAAGAATACAAATATATGTCAGGTGAAAGCAGTTTTTTAATTCTGAATGCCTAGAGTAAACAACTTATTATGATATATTCTAAGATTCCGCAACATTGTTGATTCAAAGGCTGAATAGTACTTGAGAGCTCATGGGAATAAATAATGTGGTATCTGTCTGAAATTCATTAAATGCCAGTAATGTAACTGCCAATTGTACACAACCAATGGATGAATAAATTAATTAAAGGAATAAATTATTAGTAAATTTAAGAATTTTAAAGTAAATAAGTTAAACTAAACAAATACATCAGTTGGGATATTCAGAGATCTTGTATCATATAATAGGTATTAAAACCAAAATCAGTCTTTAAGATCCTAAACAATAGCAGGTAAGCATTCCATGAAAAGTCCTCAATAAATAATTTTTTCAATATCATATATGCAGTAGAAAATGCATGATTCAAAAACCTAATCACATTAGCAAATGCAAACAATATTCAATTAAGACCAAATTAAATAGATAGTTGGGTGTAATATTCCTTAACCTGGCATAGTGTTTGCACATTGTTTGCTAGGATATTATTATTTTGTACAGTAAGATCTTACTTATGATCTGTTCATGTAAGTCTCACTACCTGCAGTTTGAGAGAATGTTTCCTCTAATTATATATCCATAAATTGTAAGACTGAATACTAAGTGGTTAAGAAATGCTTTATTGAAAAAAGTTAGAGTAGTAGTTTAAAGTAAATTCATGCTACTAATTTTGTTTTTTGTTTCTAAGCTCACTATTGTAAATCAACAAGTTGTTTAATTCCTTATTCTGTAATTCCACTATTTTTTCATTTAACTGCTTGCTTTCACGCTTTAATATCAGTGAAATATTAGTACTATAATTAATAGTCCTTGTATTTTTTCTGTGTAACTAGTAATATAGTTATTTAGTGTTCTCTTATTTTTCTCTATTCATACTCATATTACTTGAATATAATTGCAAGTAAAGTAAACATTGATTGTGTGGATTTTACCCCCCAGTTTTCTGTATTTAAAAAAAAAGTTGGTGATAAGAAGAAACAGTAGAGTTCCATAAATAAGGTCCTAAGAAGATAGTATTTATGAAGGAGCTATCTATTGCCTTAAAGTTTTTTGCTTACTGGTTCAAAAAAACAGAGCAGTATATGCTGCCTTATTCCTCATCATATATCATGGAGATATATATGCTTTTGTAGTGATTATAATTTTTACGGGTTGCTAGCCCAATCCATAACCCTTCTCCTATCTCATCTGGGCTTGGGATCAGCAATGGCTGATATGCTACATAGCATGGGAAGAGCTAATGCTAAATCTACCAATATAATTTAATTGATAACCTTGACAAAACCAAATTGTGCTGTTGATTGCTACATAAAAACTGAAAGTGCAAATTCATTTACATTTAAGTCATTTATAGTCACACTGCTAGCTGTAAAGGAACAATTCACATTGTGTAGGATATGTAATATATCTTTTGAATATCCTGAACAAAACAATTTCAGTTTACTGGAAAGGACTAAGTGACAATAACTGTTTTGTTTGCCTTTGCTCTGGTTAACTGATTGGATAGGCTGGGATGGGCTATTTGTTTCTAAGATTATGGAATGTCCAGATTAACCAAGGAGAGCAGTTGCTACAAACCATGTTTTTTTTTCTTTTCTTTTTTTTCAAAAAAGGTTTTTTTATTTTATATATACAATAAATCCATTCCATTTCAACCTTCTGTCAACTAGATACATATTTCATGTGCTTACAATTATAGTGAGTACTTTTACCAATATATCAGTAATCACATTTTCTTATACATCATATCTTATATATCTATTTTTTGACAATCTCATCTTATTACTTTATATATTCATCTAATTTGTTTAATTTATTTTATTTTCTAACCATTGATAAAATAAATCCCATACCATATAATATTTCATTTCTTCTTTTTCTTTAATTACCAATGTTAATCTGTTCATTTCTGCACATTCAAATATTTTCTCAATTATTTTTCTGTCTATCGGTATCTTATTGCTTTTCCAATTTTGAGCAAATACAATTCTAGCTGCTGTTAATACATGTATTATTAAATACATTTTTTCTTTACTGAAATCTTCAGGTACCATTCCTAATAAAAATATTTCAGGTTTCAAGTTTATATGTTGTTTTATCATTTTTTCCAGCCATGTGTGCATTTTGGTCCAATATCTTTTAGCTTCTATACAACTGGGTAACCCAAATCCTTCTCTAGTTATAGCATCCTGTAACATTTTTACATTAATTCTTGCTTTCTTCCCTTGCCATTTCTTCCATACTATTTTATGAATATCTTCAAAATATTTTTTCCAATTTTATTGGAATTGTTTGAAACAAGTACAGTACTTTGGGTAATATGTTCATCTTAATCACCACAATTCTTCCTGTTGATGATAACTGCATATTACCCCATTTTTCCAACTCTGTCTTAATTTGTTGTTTATAATAATTATCTTCTTTAATTGTTCCACATCTTGCAGTCAACTGAATTCCTAGGTATTTAACTTTCTTTACGATCTGAATATCTATACTCTGACAGTTCTTTTTTTCCCCTCTGCCATATTTTTTACCAATATCTTGGTATCTTTCCCTTTGTTTATCTTCAATCCCGCCATTTTCCTATAATCCTCTATTTTATTTGTCATCTTGGTCCTTTCCCTAGAGGTTCTTCTAATATAAAAACTAGATCATCTGCAAGTGCACGTAATTTATACTCTTCTTTTCTTATTTGCATCCCTTTTATCTCCTTATCTTTTCTGATAGTTCTGTTTAATACTTCCAAAGTTAATACAAACAACAATGGTGATAATGGTCACTCTTGCCTTGTTCCTTTCTCAATATGATTTTTTTCCTGTCAATTCCCCATTAACCATTACCTTTGCATATTGTTTATAATATATTGTCTTAATCATGTTAATAAATCTTTCCCCAAACTCCACTTCCTCCATTTGTGTCAGCATAAATTGCCAGTTCATATTGTCATGGCCTTCTGTGCATCTAAAAATATCAACTCCGTTTGTTTTTCAGGATGTGCTTCATAATATTCCAAAGTGTTTAAAATTATTCTCATGTTATCCTTTATTTGTCTCTTAGGTAAGAATCCATTTTGATCTGTATGTATAAATTGATTTAAGTATTTAAAGTATTGTCTTTCAACCATTATTGATGCAAATATTTTATAATCCAAGTTTAATAACAATACTGGCCTGTAGTTTTTAATCTGTTGTAAATCAGTGTCATCTTTTGGTATGAAAGTAATTAAAGAATCCTGTAGGGTTTTATACATTTCTGCTGGCAGGCCATCTGGCCCTGTGCTTTCCCATTGTTCCCAACAGTGCTTTCCTGTTGTTTGTCTTTTAATTGCTTCAGTTAGTTCCATCATTGTTATTTTTTCCTCTGACATTGTTTTAATTTCTTCTGGTACTTTAGGTAACTCCACATTCTTTAAGTATTCCTTTATTTCTCTTTTTTCCACTTGTTCTTCATCATATAATTTTTATATTATTTCTTTTTTATCTTCATTCCTGTGACATAGATTCCCTTTGTCATCCATTAATTGAGAGATCCTTTTCCGTTCCTTCTCTTTTTTCAATCTATATGCTAGCCACCTTCCTGATTTATTTGCATTTTCAAAAAAAGTTCTGTTTAGACTGTTTTATTTTTTTTGTACTAATTCTTCTTTGTCTATTATTTCCATTTTATGCTTTGTCAAGTTCATTTTATTTTGGATTTCTTTTTTTGCAGATTTTCTTGTAGTTCTCTCTCCAACTTTTTATATTCTTCTTCTAACATTTTTTGTGTCTGTCTTTTCTTTCTATTTCTCTTTTCCATATATGTTATTGTTAATCCTCTTATATAAGTTTTAGCTGTATTTTGTAAAGAAGTTTCCTCTTTTTTATTTTTCTCAAAGAAGAATTTCAATTCCTTTTCCATGTATTCAGTATATTCTTTTTCTCTTAATATTGAGTTATTCATTGTCCATCTTGACCTCTTTTTTATCCCTTCCATGTTATTTTAACCAGATTATGATCTGCTCATGTATTTCTTTCAATACTTATGTCTTATATATTGCTAATAAACTCGGTTGTTGCCCACATCATATCTAACCTGGACCAAGATAAATGTCTATTTCAATAAAATGTGTATTGTTTCTTTCCTGGGTATCTTTCTCTCCATGCGTATTGGATTGCTAGTTCATCTGCCATTTTAAAACATGATTTTGGTAATATTTTTGTATTCTTTTTGTCTTCTGTGTTTTATAGTCCATTTCTACATCTACTATTGCATTGTAGTCTCCAA